CTTGAGATGTGATAAAAGGCGGACATTTGGATATTCCCGTGATATCACACTGATGTAATTTGGATATCTCAAGATATCTCTGGGATATGGGATATCCTTAAACAGATATCACACTGATATCACTGTGATGTCGCTGTGCTATGTGGGCATAGTTCTCACCTCAAGTTACCGTTACGTGCCGTACTACCGATCCAAAAGATTTCGTGTATAATTAGAAATATACTTGAGTAGTCTTATACATTTTGTTTTGTTTTGTCTACCCTGGTTCCATAGAGAGAGATGAAAGATAGAGTGACAGAGGGAGGAAGAGAAGAGAGAAGGGAAGAGGAAAGATGGAACGGAGAGTAAGGTGGACAAAGGAGATGACAGGAGTGGAGAGGAGGAAGAAAGAGGAGGGAAGCAAGAGGTGGAGGAGAGACGGAGGAAATGGAGGGAGGCGGAGAGGAAAGCGTACAACAGAGAGAAGGAGGAGCAGGCAGAGGAGAGTGAAGAAAAGGGGAGAAGAGGACAATGAGAGGAGAATCACAGGGAGACGAGGGGACAAGGAGAGGATGAGGGAGGGTGAAGAGGATGAGGAGGAAAGGGGGGAAGAGTGGAGCAGGAAAGGAGGAAGTGGAGGGAAGGGGAAGGAGTGGAGAACCGGCCAAGCAAGACGGAGGCGAAGGGCAAGAAGGTAGAGAGGAAGGAGGAGAGGGGGGAGAGGAAAGAGAAAGAGGGAGGAGAGAGGAGAAGAGAGGCAGGGGGGATAAGGGGGGAGGAAAAGATAGAAAGAAAGAGGAAGGAGAGAGAAAGAAGGGGAGCAGAAGAACTGGTGGAAGGAGCTGGAGGAGATGGAGATGGAGACAAGGAACGAGGGGAAAGGGGAGGAGGGGAGGAGAGGAGGAGAAGGAGAATGGTATGGAGAGGGGTGGAGGGAAGGGACAGGGAGGAGAGAATATGGAAAATGAGAAGAGCGGCAAGGGATAGGTTAGGGAGGGAACCAGAGATAGAGGGGATTATAGAAAGCAAGGAGAAGGAGGGAGGGTGGTAATGATTATAGAGATGAAAGAGGAGAAGGATAAGAAGAGGATATTAGGTGGAAGGAAATGGATGAGGGGGGGGGGGGGTAAAAGTGGATGAAGATCTAAGTATGGAAGAGAGGAAAGCAAGGTGGAAGATGTTAGAGAGAGTGAAGGTAGAGAGGAAAAGGGGAAGGGAGGTAAAAGTAGGAAATAGAAGGATGTGGGTGGATGGAAGGGAGTGGAGATGGATGGGAGAGGAGAAGGAAAAAAGGGAGGAGTGGAGGAGAATATAATGAATAATGAAAGGATTGATTATAGGAAAGGAGAAGGGACAGCGAGAAGGACCACAATGGAGGGATGCGAAAGGAAAGGTGAAACAGGAAGGTGAAGGAAAGGATAGATGGTGGAACACAAGGAGGGGAAGGAAGAGAGAAAGGATATATGGCAGAGGGAATGGAGGAAGGTATGGACGGGTGGGGCGAGTGGGAGGGGGGTAAAAGAATGTAAAGGTCGTAAATGGCCAGGACGCGGGGAGACAGCTAGGGAAAAAGAAATGTAAAAGGTTTGGGAACGCTCTCTGGAAAAGCGCCCATGTACATACATTCGAAAGAATAAACGCATTTATCTATCTATCATAAAACCCTATAAACTTTACATGAAACATATTTTATGAAAATGCACATTTTTTTAAATAAAAGAGTAGACGGGTAATCTAAAACATCCTTATGTATCATTGTAAACACACACACTTGCACGCGCACGTAGGTGTTTTCAAAAGAATACTTATTTTGAGAATATTATTAAATTGATTATTATTTCAATTGTGTATATTATTTCAACATCAATTTAATATAATATAAATAAAATTGCAAATTTCAATCAACCTCAGCTGGCTACATTTATTAAAATAAATACAAT